GTTAAAACCCTATATGGCCTTAGAGCAGAAGAAAAATATTCCATTGTACTCTCTTCCGCTCCAAACCTGTGCATAGTGCCAGTACTTACTGTTTTCACGGCTCTGGCATTTCTTGGGCTTCTATCACTGTCTCTACATACAAATGCTAGGGTGCAGAGATGGTAACATTTTAGCTGAGGGCTACGGTTCATTGCTGCATAGTTGAAGACTGCCAAATTCAGCCAATTTCAAATATATTGAAGCTACACTCGATATTGAACTTTCAATTTTATGAATGTTCTTTTAAAAAAGAGTCTTTTTTTCAGCTGTATAAAAAAAAAAAATAAAAATCCCATACCCATGCAAGTCCCCCAAACAATTAATTGGACTGCAGAGTGAATGACTGGTTCTGTCATTTGTTTAGAAGGATGTCCTAATTGCTTTTGGATTGGAAGGCTAAAGGTCTACAGTAACATATCTGCTAGAGATAAACCATCCTTAAAGAACTGTGCTTTAAATGCCTGAGAGTATTCTGAATTAAAGCTTCAATGGCCATTTTCACATTAATATAATTGCAACATCAGAAGGGGAAAACAGACAGAAATTCCCTAATTAACTTTGTTGAAAAAGCTGAAGAAAATTTATTCGCATCACTGAAGTAAGATATCCTCTTACTTCAGTGATGCAAATGTGGATCTATGAGCAGCTGGTTACAACTTTCAGATGGCAAATTATGCATAGACATTTAAATGAGTTTTTATGTGGCATGCTGTGATGAAGGGAATGTCTTCCAGCTGGGATGTAGTCAGAATTGCTGGTAAACTTTATCACTATATTATGATGCAAAATTTATCATTGTATCTCACAACGGTAATTTGAGGATATTACTATTTCTTTTTTACTACCCAACTTCCTCAGCTGGGCCCTACGAACTATGATCTTAGTTGCTGAGGATCATAGAGATTCAATGATTCCAATCTCTTTTTTTTTTCTCTGTTATGCTACTTCATCACCTCATGCCTAACATTATTCCTTTAAAAATTAGGCATACTGAGTTTAAGCTCATTGATATTAAACAGATCGGTATTTGCTTTTAATCTAGATACTATCTTTTAAATATTTGAGGTTTAAGAAACAAAAATTTTAATTCAGGGAGAGTGTAAACATTCATCAAATGTGAATTCGAAGTGTACTGAAGAATTGTTCCATTCTACTCTAGCTCTCCCCTTCATTTCTTTTTTCCTCTTTCATTTTTATGACTTATATCCTTTCCTTCACTTTCTGACCACTTGTTGACTCAGCTGCTGATGACATACTTTCAATTTAAATTATAACTTTCACTGACATCAGTAGGAAGTTAACGAGTGAAAAGACTTCATTGAACCTGGAAGAATACAGAACAAGACAGAGGTAAAAAATAACAATAATGAATGCATACGGTTATATAGGTTAGATGAGTGCATAGCATGATCATTCAGAGACAGTGATTCCTTTTTTAAGTAACTGCTATTACCTGTATGTAATTTCCTGGTGATTTCCATAATGAATGAGTAAGCATATATACCAACCTAGAAAAAATCAGAAGCTAGGAGAAGACACAGACAGAGTGTATACATATATATATATATATATATACACATATATATATACACATATAACATATATATGTTTTTTCTAGTCTTACTCCTACCTAGACTGCTGCTTGTAGTCGATTTGGGAAACAAGATATTTGGTTAATACGTTTTCATACAAACACTGGCATACTTTATTCTATTTTATGGCAGTGATTCACATACTATATTCCATTCTTTACCTGTAATTATTCATATTGACTTACTAGCTTTATGATAAAGGGATATATACTTCTCTTTCTCTGATATTATTTGTTAAAATGTTTTCTGTCTATAACCTGGTTACTGACTGTTTCCATTATTTCAAGTCATGCTTTCCTTATGTTTTCTTCTTTCCCATCTTTAAATATTAATTTTTCTTTTTTTGTTCTTGTCAATTTCAATTCTCAAGGCCTCATGAGTTTTTAAATTTGTAACTGTTTTTCTAACGATCAAATCCTTCCTCAGCACTAGCCACTAGTCACTGCCACTAATTTTAAGAGTTTCCCAGAAAGCATTCATTTTTACGTGTAATGTGCATGACAGAACCATAATTTTCATGGTTTTGTATATTTCTATGATTTATATGTTCTACTAAGATGGATTTTGCATTTAATTCTGTGACATGTTTAATATCAGCCATGCTATGATTACTGTAAAAATAACTACTTTATTCAGATAAAATAAGAAAAATTCAATACATATCATTTCATACCTTTGAGTTTTATTGACTCAGTTTTAAAAAGTTGCCACTAAATAAACAACATACCAGCAGCTGAGGCCTTTGAGTTCACTCAGTAAACTGTATTAAAGACTTTAATTGTCAAGCTGATATCATCAGCCACAGAGAAGAATTAAATATGAATTAATTTGCAGAAGGATTTGTTCTGGTTATACAGACAGCTATCTAAATTTTGGCTTTGATCTGTTATTGCACTTCAGCATTTTAAAAGAGCAAAATTGTAAATAGTAAAATGAAAGAAAAATTCTCATTTGTGGTAAACACTGGGATACATACACACTTCGATAACTATATAGAAAATACATTACAAATAGCAAAACCTGCTGCAAACCATGGCAGATGAAACATGCCCATATTCACGAATCTATTAGCTTTCTACTGAGTCAGCATTATGCTAGCATGCAAGCAATTTTCATCTTTCTAATTTAATTCCTTGTAAAGAAAACATGAGTTTTGGGGATGTACCTGATTAAGTATGGTTTCATTTTTCTGATCTGTCTTGGATTTGGGAGGAGTTTTTCTTTTGTCAGTAAATAGGCAACCTGCTGCTCAGTTTTTTCCTACTGGTACAAAACATGCAAACCATGTAGCTTATTTTATTATGTCCCATGACACAAGGGAGTGCTCTGGTGAATGTGAAGACACTTAAAAATCACCAGAGCTCTCTTATTTTCTGTATCTCTTATTAACTGATTGAATAAATCAGGTGAGTTTTAACATAGTATGGGTATTTTGGGTACTTCAATTTGATTGCCTATTTTTAATAAGACCACACTGCTGCAATAATAAAACTTTCCCACTGAAAAGAAAGCTATCTTAGCCATGCAGTTGGTTTCCAAAGGTGTTGAAAAACTGCGCTGAAGCATAAGGTCCTTAGTGTAAGTTGATTGATTCAGCTGTCTTTATGAGAAGCATGACTTTATAAGTAAACAGCTGGAATCTCCAGAAGCTGATCTGCACATGTACTGTTTGTGATCTCTGCCTTCAACATGCTCTGCTGGTAAATTAATTTCATCTGGTTTTGTGGCTTAAAAGCATAATAAACCTGAAACCAAAATGGAATACAGGGTCTTGATTCTCCAAAGACTGCCCTGAAAGGATCCAGGTCCTTCCTACCACCTCCACTGCCTTGGGAAAATGGAAACACTGAACAGATAAAAAGCAACCTCATAACATGATTGCAAAGCCATCAGATAATCTCATCCCCTCTTAGACCTTTTCCCTTCCACCTCTGGCAGTGTTTGCTTTTATCCTCAGTTTCTATGACAATTTATAGAGAGGAGCTGGACCTAATTGTGACTAGAAACTTCCTCAATTAATTGAAACAGGATATTGTAATTGGTTTTGAAATCCCAAACGGACCAGCAGTTTCTGGGTGGTTTCATTAGTAAAGCTTTGTACAGCTTTTAGTGGCTGTATTCATGGGGAGCAGTGGTGGCGGAATGGAGAAAGGAGGCTTTTAATGGCCCCACCTGTTTGTGTGTACAAGATTGCATGATTATCCATTTGCAACAGCTGAAATAGAAACAGCTGTCTTAGAACAATTTAGAACTTTATCCCCTACTTAGCTACACAGATAAATAAAAATGCATTTCCAATGCAAATTATTCTTGATATCAACTAAAGGTATTTAGCAAGTGAGTTACATTTGTACTAAGGCTTCTAAGGCATTTGTATTCATGCATGTGTTTTATCTTTAAAAATAATCATGTGAGGTTTGGTGCTTACAAAAGCTATGAGACGCATACAATGTGGCAGGCATATCCAGCACAGTTGAATGAAACTACCTAAATGCAGATCAGCAATCAGCCTCCCTTGTTACTGCTTTTCTAAGACTAGATAAGAGGGTGCCTATATTTGATGCCATGGTGCTTTGCAATGTGTCTCTGTCTGAGTATCTTAATACACATTGCAAAAAATATTATTTGGACTGCCTTGAGCTAGCACAGCCTGTCTATAGACCCCAGCAACAGCTGTCTCACGTATTTTAAAAGTACTGTATCTACTGGTTTCCTCCCATCATGAAGAGAAAATTGCAAACATTAAAAGCCTACTGGTACACCCAGCCTTTGTGCTTTTTCTTTTTTTTTGTACAGTGCAATACATTATCTTTTGAATTTTATTCCCAAAGATTCTAGTGTCAAAACCAACAGTGGGCATTTGGGGAGTAGTTTTTCTCTGAAGATGTAGAATGGATTGAAACTATGACTCCTGCCGTGCCTGAGAATATCACAGGGCTCTTCAAACTGACATAGATAACCCAAATGTTTTAGGGGTAAGAAATCTTCAGCATCTTTCTTTTCTTAAAAACCATGTCCTGCACAGATGCCTCATCAGCACTTCTGTGACAAATTGGGTGAATTCTCTTACCCCAAGCTATTAAGGAACATCTGCTTCAATAAAAGATTTTGAGGATTCCCCAATTCTCCATTCTCTCTTTTACTCCCCACAGAATGAGAGCACAAAAGAGGATTTATTTGAAGTTCTGCTAGGTCTTTAGTCTTCTTGAAAAGCCAGGCGAATTCCCTTAGGTTCTCTGTTTCAAGATGAAGAAATTATTTTCCCCAGCTGTTTTGACTTTTCTTTCCAGACACTTCTTCACTAGTTTCCATTTAAAGTAGTCAGTCAGGTCTCTACTTTCTATTTTCACCATCTCATTTCCATCATGTTCCATGATTTTTTTTTTTTCTCTGTCTGGAGAACTGCAGCATTTTCTTCTTCCATACAGATTCCATGGAATCTAAAAAGGTATGAATTCCTATATTAGCTATTTCCTCAGTAATGATGGTTAGAGTAATCTTCTTGGACACAAGTTCCCACGAAACTTAAAAAAATTAGTTATCTTTGAAACTACACTCCATTAAATAAGACTGAAATAGATAACAGGTTAAAAAGTTATTAAGGAGAACATGTAGGCATAATAAAGCACACATACAGAAGGTTTGGAATTTTAGCCATCAAGAAACAATATCTTCACAAAAGTGAAGTGTGTAATCTGTTAGAGTGCTAATGCCGAAATAATCTACCTAACAAATAGTAATAATAGTGACCTCTTCATTAAATTAAATGATAATCAAATAACACTTAGAAATTTTCTTGCTTTGAATTATTTGGTTATTTGTGTGACACGTGTCTCATTCCTGACCTTTCAAAATGAGACTAGGGACATTTCTGAATTAGTGCTGCTTTGCAGTGCTTAGTCAGACACTCAAGGTCTAATTCTATCTGGGATACTTCATCACACTGCAGGGTGGTAATTTAAAAGCAAACAGAAAAATCTCATCCTTGTTCTGTAAAGCAGCACAAAAATAATATAATCTATGGTTTACCTCAGGCAGATAATATTAAATATTATGTCCCTTAAAAGCATATGGGGTTTAAATCATTGTAATAGTATACACTGTAATGGCTTATGATGCTGTGCGAGAAATGATCAGTGCTGCTCCTACTTGTAACTCAAAGGACAAAGTTCCATGCTGGAGATGTGATATAAGCATTCTGAGTCCATAATTTTTCACATTCATCTTGGACATTCAGATTAATTCTTAGCCAGAGTGTAATGATCACAAACCACACGGAAGTGTGAGAATAGTGATGGAAGGTTTTCTAGTGGGACTTGTTTATTTTCTCTGCTCTTGTTTAATCCTCTATCTGTCTGGAGGTTACTTTGCAAGAACCTCATTATGCTAAAACATGTTGTTAAATGCTAATTAAGAAAATATAATAGCTTGAACTTTTAGACTAGTTCAGTAATCGGGAACCTTCAGCTAACATATATGCTTGTTTCATCATCCTAGACAAGCTTGAGATTGCAGATTTCTCCCCATGTAACAGTTTTCACCCACTTTTCCTTGGAAACTTTTTTTTTGTTTTCTATTTCAGTTGATTATGTGATATTTGAGTGAATTGATACTAATATTTATTAAACTAGTTAGATCCCCCATAATAAAGAGCAGCGACTGGAGGTCTTCATCCACTACAACATGGCAGCTGGCCCACAGCAGAGCTGTGATTATTGTCACAATACCAAATTCATCTCTTCTGCCCAAGTAAATGAATAAATAACTGGACAAATGAAAGGAGAGACTAAACAATTCAAGATTGTAGTAAAAATGATCTCCGACCTGAGTCAAGAGATCCCCTGACACTAGTTTGGAGAATGAGCTGCATTTACTGTGATCGCATACTATTGAAATGCCACAAAAAAACACATGAGGGCTGAACGTAACAGCAGTAAGGGTTACAAAAAAGGGAGGAGATGCAGTGCTGGCCACTTGCCATATGACACAGACTGGCACATTTGTGTCAAATGGTATGAAACTGATGGTCTTTGAAATGGTCAATAAATATCAACATGCTGCGTAAATGTTTTCCAGAGTCCACAGCAGAACTGGCTTAAAGGATCTTTTGAAGTTATTTGTAAGATATAACTAAATGAATACACTTTATCCCACCAAATAGGAAATACAGCCTACTTTCTAAACATATATTAGCAGTATTTATTTACTTCTGAGTCCTTGCTTGAATAAATGAGAATAAATCAGAATTATACTGTGAATACTTGATAAATTCATTCCTCAGTGTCATCATAATTGCAGAAGTTTAGATCTCTTGGGGAAAAAAAAATCAGTATTTTACTGTAACAATTTCAGAGCATGTACAAATCATCTGTGCAAATTAATTTTGTCTGACCATGCTCTTGCATTTAAATCCTGACTTAGAGGGGAAATTATGTTTCTGATATTAGTTAGTTCCAAATCTTTCCACTAAAATTTCCATAAAACATCATTACTATTTGAATTCTTTCACTCTAAATGCTTAGGCTTTGAAAACTGAGTCAAATGCTGCATCTCTTTGACAGAGACTATGAACAAGCATCGTAGCTTCTGATCATTATTGATTTGGTCTACATGACCAAAACACTAAAATATCTTTGATCCTTTTATGAACTGCTTGAGTTTACTGTATTTTTACCACACTTCTTCACACTGCTGTAGTTATCTAATGGTAATTTCTGATTCAAAATGTCTTCAACCAACTCCCCATGTTTTTTTCTAATTATCTCGAAAAATACCCAGCTGTATGGTTGGCATCAGTGCACTATGATGCTAGTAACGTTACTTACTACCCCTCTCAGGGGCATCACCATATGTGTGGATGTTTCATATCTTTTCTACCTACTCAGAATTCTTTCCTTCTTTTGCACTCTAGTGGGTGATTGGTGAAATATATAGAAATAAGTAATGTATTCAGAACGTGAGCATGAAACAAATTACTCAAACCTTTAAAGGGAAGTGGGAGAGAGGGACACGGCACAGATCAATGACCTCAGTTACATATACAGATTCTGTGCTTTGCAGATCTTCAAAGGTCCTAACTTTTAAATACAACTTTTATTCCTTTGGCTTCAGATCATGTTTTCATTCTTGTTAGGAGTCTTATCAGAATTTTCCCAGATGTGGAGGCAGAATTTGCTTCCCTATGGAAGACTGCTCTGCAGATCAGAAGGGAATTTGATCTCCTGGGCTCTGGATGTGGCACCTTGACCTAAAACTTTAATGGAAATAAAAGATTCTCCTGCATATTTTAAAGTGACTCACAAAGATCAGGTCCTTCAGTTTCTTACTTGAAACAAATGAAGTAAAAGGCATTTGCATCATGGATGTTCTATAATTCCTGTTCAAAGTCATGCTGGAGTCACCCTACAGAATACACACAGGTGATACACAATGAATACATTGCTAGTATTGCTAGTACACAATAAAAATGTGGCTAATACTGCTATTCCACCAATAGTTAGTTTCTAACATAATTTCTTGTACTAGAAGTGTACTTTATTCCGCCAGGTTATGTCCAGATGTCACTGAAGCCAATTTGGGGGTAAAAAATCAGTAAGGGTAAAACAAGGCTAAAAAACCTCTTGACTCCTGGTGTTCAAATGCATTTGTAAATTCAGCCTCCTTTGTAAGATAATTTGTTTGAAGTTATGTAAAACTTGGCAGGGAGCCAAGCTTGTTCCAATGGCTGATAATTTCTTTCTCTGGTTATTAGATTTCCATGTTTGCAATCATTTCTCATTCTGCTAATGTAATGCCATTTCTTGACAGACCACCTGTCATCGTTTACTTTTGTCTGCTGGGAAAACTGCTAGTCCATATCTCTTCAATGAAGGAGCCATATATCACAAGATTTTAAATCCTGATATACAATCAGAATTGATTATCCTGTAGTTCTTAACATACAGTACCATAAGAGAAGCAGATTTTTGTAAAGAATAGCTACAGGGTTTGTTTGTTTTTTTTTTTCATTTGTTTGGGTTTTTAAATTACTTTTTAGACTTTTCTTAGGAATTTTTTCCAGACAGCTGAACAATACTGCTTTAAATGTGATATACGGAATTTGAGTAGGTATGATAAATCCAAAGACAGGTTAAACCCCTGTTATCTTGCATCTTATCAAGTTATCTTCCAACACTTAACATTCAAGAAGTAAAAATCAACTATACTGACCTGCAAAATCCTAACTTAAGTTCAATTTTTAAATTATTCTATAGTATTGAAGAGGTGCATAGGAATCATCTGTGTTGAATTTCTAGAAACGTCTTTCAAAACGAATGTTACACAAATCAAGATACCATATATGTCTTTATGAAGAATATATTTAGTATGGTCATGACTGTAGGAGTATTATTAGATATTAGGAAAAAAAAATCTAACATGAAGACTGTCACATTAGAATAGGTCATCCAGAGAGGCATTGCAGTCTCTTTGATTGGAGATATGCACAATTTGCTTAGATAACCTCCATTGCCTAGCATTGCGCTTAGCCGTTTTCTGAACTGGTGGTTTTCTGAGCCTGTATTGTTCTATGCCACTCTAGGTTTATAACCAGGATAACCAGAGCATGTTTTAGTGTTCCTTCATATCGTATCAGTCAAATTGCATATCCAGCTGAAACTTGGATTGTTTGGTTTTCAAACAACAAATTCTGCATCCAGCTCAGTTTTTTGGAATATGTCAAGTTTTCTTTTCAAAGTACTCTAGTCAGAGATGCGTATTTCTTGTACCTATAGACTACTTCTAGTATTTGCTGATTTTTCCTTTCAGATTAAAACTCCATAATAATACTGGATTTACTTTCAAGTCTTTCATCTGAACTCTTAAAGAACTTTATTGTACAGCATGTGTACAGCATCTTTCAATAAATTATCAAGTTAATTTCTGGTTTCTTTTAAATTAGGGGAACTCGGAATAAAGCTTTGGCCCCTTGGTTTTGTTATGTGTGTGTTATGAATGTGTGTTTTAATTTGTTCTTTGTGATTCTTAAAAACAACCTTTTGTGACATGAATAGGCAATGCTCGTGTGGCTTGTAATGATACATAATTTTCTTTCTGTCTTTAAGCAATAACTTCATCTTTAATTTAGATCCAGTCTTTAAGAGTATAACTAGATGTTTCTATGGCACTATAATAAAAAGCAATGCTTGTTATAACTATACATTTATTTACCTAATTTATTTTTTTTCTGCAAACATTCTAGTAAAAATGAATGTTAAGCCAATATTGGAGGTCATTTGTGCCAAGTAATTTTAATTCAGAAATACAAATACTCACCTTGCAAGCCTGATTCCCGGAATTTATGCTCAACATTTAAGAAAATTCATCAATACCTTGCAATAAACTTATTAACAGCTTCAAGAAATAGTATTATGTATAATATGAAGAAGTCTCTTAGTGAATAATTTTGAGTAATTCTTATGAAAAATTGTGATTTCCTAGAATACAGTCATAAAGGGAAAGATAGGAAAATAATATAATAGGGAACTTCTTTACTAATAAGTCCCTGGCATGTCACTGAAAACAAATTATTATTTTTTTTTTTAAGGTCTATGTCCCTTGAATTTTGAGATCAAGGAAAACAGGGTTCAACTTGGGGTTGAGAGACGACTGTTATTACATCCTCCACTAAATTGGCAAAGGAGTCCTGGATAACTTAAGGAAAATAAAAGGATTCTCTTGAGAGCCAAAACCATCCTGGGATCTGCATCAAGAGCAGTCAACGCAGAGTTGCCAGGTTTCCATGAGTCTCAGGCTTTAGGGGCATTTCAGACCCTTGGGTCATATTTAGTGCCTGAGTATTTCTCTGAGTCTTTCTCTTTGTTGTTTTAAAAAATGTTACCTTAAGTATCCTACTGTCATTTATACACAGAAACACGAGGAAAATTATACCAAAAGAATGTCTCATGTTCCTATTCCAAAATGATAATTTTTTAGAGTTTAGTGTGCACCAGCTGCACACTTAACTAATTTGAAAACATATATATACACAAGACAGTTCTGCCAGCAAAACAGGAAAGCCTTTACTAACTAGTAAAAAGTTTCAAGAGCATTGTCTTACCTTATTAAATCCAAACCAAAAAAAAAAACCAAACATGCTCCAAGCTGAAGAGGAAAACAAATTTAGTCATCACATCTATGAACATATCTACTTATTCTCTTGCCTTGCTTTGCCTTCTCTTTCCTCTTCCATTTGACCTTCCCTTTCCCCTTCCTGTTCCTTTTTTCCTGTCTTAACCAAGGACTTTGTGTTCTTATCCTCTAAGCAGAGAAAATTTTCTACATATCAAACATGCCTACTTTACTTTTTTTGCAGCAATGATAAAGCAGAATATTGGGGGGGGGGGGGGGGGGGGGGGCTTTTTTGATATCTTCCAGTAATTAAATTTAATTTATCCTATTTTGGTCTCTGTCAGGATCTGACTGGAGAAAAACTCCAGTGCAGGACCCTGTTTCAGTTTGTGATCCCAAGAGTGAAATTAAGACACAAACGAGGCCAAGTACCATAATTCGACAGTTTGTGTATTACAAATTACAAAAAGCCAGTTATTTTTAAAAAGGGAAATTATTGTAATAAAGGGGATAGTGATAGGACAGATTGGAAAAAAGGTAGAAAATGAAGTAAGGATTTGGGGTGCAGAGAGAGATAGATAGTCACCACCATGGATCCAGCTGTGTCCTGGGGATCTGTGGTCATTGTCATTTGTGGTGGGAGTTCTTCAGGGTTCATAGTCTCTTAGTATCAGAGCAGAGTGTCCCCCAAAAGTCCATCAGCGGCAGGTGTCCTCATGGAGGTGTCCTTCTGGAGTCCCCTTAAAGGTACCCCGTGCAGTGTGTCTCATGGAGTTGCCCTCATGGCCATGTCTTATGGAGGGTGTCTCTTAGGGTCAGCAGTAGTCATCTTTGGAGAGAGTCCTCACAGAGGTGTCCTTCTGGGGTCATCCCAGTGGCAATGGCTCCCTGGCAATGTGTCTCTTGGTGATTACCTTTTCCCCTTTGGTAAAGAGTTGGGGGGAGTGACTCTGTTCTTCATGTCACGTATTACACGTTCCTGGTAGACCAGTTTCCCTGGTCTTGCAGCTGGCTGCACGTGTCTGCACACACATGTGTCTGCAGTAATTCTTGGGATAATACCTCACACCAGTCCTCAAGGTAATGGACAGAAGTGTCTTATCTCAGCTCTTTCCCACTCATTCCCCAGGCAATGAATGGTGGAGTCCCAGTTCAGCTCCTCACACCTCTCTCCCAGGCAATGGATATTGGAGTCTTATCTCAAAGCCTCCCACCCATCTCTGAGACAAAAGATAGGTAGGTTTCCATCTCATCTTCTCAGACCAATCTTAGAGACAATGGACAGTGGAGTTTGATTTCAGATCAGTCTCTCACAGTCTCAAAATTCTTTTAATGTATCCTTCTTTACAGGAAGAATTGGATTCTTAAACTTTTTGTTAAACTCTTCTGTTTTAATATCAGTGCAAAATCTCAACATGATAGAGCAACACTTCCTCGAGTATGCTGAGGTACACTGAAGCCAGTCTTGAACATTTTCTATTGCAGAGAACTGTCCCTAATACTTCATTAAGGCTACAATAGTTATTTTAACTGACACTTCAGCATTTTTTTTTGTGATCTTTAAAATTCCTTATGCTTTTCCCAAAATGTAAATCTGTCTCCACCATATTTTGTCTTCATCTGATAAAGGCAAATTAGACTTTTTTTTTATTAAGTGACAAAGGCCTTTGGATTCAAGACTGTTAGTTTCTCTTCTATTAGACCTCTCGTGAATGCTTCTTTAGATTCCTATATCCTACTGTGTTTCAAGGGAGAGTGTTTGAAAAAGATGACCATATTCTAATTTTAATGTAGTTTTGGTTTCCATGTCCTGCCTTCCCTGTTTACTTGATGTATATATATACCCAAATTCTTAGACCTGTGATGTTATCATCAGTAGAATGAGGTAGAAAAAAGAAAAACAAAAACTAGGAACACTTAAAGAAACCTTTTTCTAATACAAAGGTGTAGGAAAGGCAAAAGTGGGAAGGAAAAATTAACCCCATGATTACATAAACATTAATATTTATAATACCAATTTGATCCTAATGTCAAAGGTTTTCTAGATGTATAGGTAACTGGGGAGATAAAATCATAAACTGAATGAGTGTATGTGCATCTTTGAATGTACCAGGTAAAACTTACAGTGTGCTTGTCATTCTTTCATCTATATGATATGATTTTATTGTCTATAGTATACATCACTGAGACTAATTTGAATAATGAGTAATATCTGTCAAAAGAGCAACAGTAATGCACTTAAAACATTTTCAAGCACTAACTTCATTAATCATGATGTTATCGGGCATCCTGGAACATGCATTTCTCCTCTTGTTCATGTTGTTTTGTTTTTATTTCGATTTGTGATTGCTAAATCAAGTAGGCTGCTTGATGTGTTTGTCGTGCCCATCACTGAACCAATGTGAGTTAGCTCATGTTAATACAGGAGAATTTATGTCCCATCAGAAAAACCAGAAGTGCTACCAACTCCAAGTGAAGCTTATCTCCATGGGCCTAATAGGCAGATGTATTCCATGTATTTTCATAAACACAGGATTTCAGGCTTCACAGATACAGAAATGTGTTGTTAAGATGAAAATCCCACTAATTACTGTAGATGCCAACATAAGATTTAAGAGCAGATTTAAGATACTTCGTATCTGAGAGCGCAGTTCTTACCATTTAAACATAAGAAACCTTATAAGAGGGGTGAGGTTTTTTCAATTTGAATTGGAAGACTTCAAGGATCTAGTTAAGCTTATATTTAATTGGATGAAGGTTTTACTTGAGGAGTTATAGCATATTTAAAATGAACTGCAAAGTCTTTGTGTTAGGTAGGGATTACAGGAGCCAGTTTTATTGTAATTTGCATTTTTTACCTTAAAACCAAACTCAGATGAGGAAGTCTACCAGAGAATAAAATGAGATTATAGAATCATAGAATGGTTTGGGTTGGAAAAGGCCTTCAGATCATCCAGTTCCAACCACCCTGCCATGGGCAGGGACTCCTTGCCCTGGACCATGTTGGCCAAGGCTCTGTCCAACCTGGCCTTGAACAATGTCAAGGATTATAAGGCGAACTTGTAGGCATTTCATATTAAAGCAGCTTGAGTAAGTTGTAGTCTGTCCCAGTTCCAGCTGACTTCAAATCAGGCTCAGCCTATTGCTTCCAATACCCAATTTTTCTGTTTTCAAGTATTAACCAATAAAAACCAAATCCCACAAAACAAACAAAACACAAATCAGAAAAACACCCCCCCCCAACCCCACCCCCTCCCCCCACCCCCCCAAAAAAAAACCCAAGCCAAAATACAAACCAAAACCAGGATCATTAGGGCTGGGAGTATTCTTTTTATCCTTCACTTACACGACAACACCCTTTTCCTTATATTTCAACGTCAGGAGATATCAGCTTACAATGAGGTCCCCATTATGACAGGCACCTCACAAGAAAACTGGGAGACAGTTTCCCTGACTTAAAAAATGTGTACCTTGGGTAACTGAAGATGATAAAATACACAGGAGAAGCAATCTCCTTTGGTATGTGACAGACCTTGCAAGAGGATGCTTTGAGCAGAAATCCTACAAGAAAACAAATTTTGTTCCTGTGTAAACTTCTACTGAGTTCAGCTGTAGGTGTTTAGCAACAAAGGACCTACTGTAAGATCAATATATTACTGTTTTTTCTTGAGTACACAATCTGGCAGTAGTACATTTGCACTTAAGTCTATTACATCTCAGAGTAGTGATTTAAACACAAAACTATTGCTAAGCTCTCCATCACTCTCGTGAAAGCTTAGGTGTATGCAAATTCCTACAAAATACCACAAAACCTAAATATTTTCCATACAACTTTCTTCTACAATTGAGACTTGAATGAAGGACCTATATTATCTTAAAGCACAAAGCAATGGCAAACATAAGTAAGGCACCAATTACCAGAGACTGGATTTAATATAGATTTTTCTCCTTCTGTCTCTCCTTATTGGCCATTTTCAAGCAGCTTCCTGTTCTGCTTTCTAGCTTTTCAGATGGGTTTTTTAAAGTAAATAAATATCCCCCTGAACTGTACAAGGAAACAGGTGCTGAAATTTTGTGCTGCTCAGTAACTACTTTATGTCTAGCCATCACTTGTAAGTGTGATCAGATTCTCAAAAAGGCTTGAGGTTTTTTCTCTGCATATTTTTGCTTGCCTTTATGGAAAAAAGATTATTTTTTTTTTTCTGTTCATGGCTTTCAGTAAACTTTTCATTGTAAATTATTTTTCCTTAGTTTCTCCTTGTCTTGGAAACGTAAACCTATCTGTAAACATCCCATGTGCTCAGATGGTCTGATGCAGCAAATATTTGTAGTGATTTAGACACGAATTGTATTAAAAGCAATAGTTGGTGTTAGTCTTCAGCTACTCAACCTTTACATGTCACCTAGAATTCTAAATCCAAGTTCCCACCTAGATTTAAATGCAGATGGAATTCATTTTTGTGAGGTCCATTTCCATTTCTTCTTAAATCTTTGACATCTCTTCTACTAGTTTTAGGAAAGTTATAGTAAATCCATTATCTGGAGTTAGGTCCTAATTGTAAACAGTTTGCCCCACCTTTCATGGTCAATACACTAATTTCAACTATTTGAAGACTGAAGGTAAAACTTAACTGCTTAATTTATGTGCTTAATTTACGTGCTTAATTTACCAGCTTTCAGGTGAGGCTATGACATATATTACTGTTAAATCAATGATAATTGTTAGAGACAGGAGAATTAATGTGCCTAATCTAAAATCATCTTGAACACTCTGGATTTGCATGTTTGTCTTGAACTTCATTATCTTGATATTC